CGTTATGATTTTGTTTGAGAAGCAAAATAAACCCAAGCTTTTTACCTCCATGGTAACTATTGAAAGAAATTGCTTTATAGCTTTCAGTGTCAATGACTGAGGCCCAGACAATCAAATATTAAAAGCGGCAAGTTATAGATCTGATGTTACAACAGCTCTAATGAGTTTTCCGATAGATTTTTTTTTTTCATTTCCAAAGCTAGGCACATCTATTCTCCAGAGAGACATTCACAAAGCTCCAGATGATTACTATGCTGAAGAAAAATAAGACACAGCAGCTTAGAATTTACACAACATGGTTGTACTTTCATATACATGATCTCCTAGAGATGCGGAGAGATATTTTTTTCCTGAAATACAGTTGCGATAGAATGTGAAGAACAAGCAGAAAACCTTTTTTAAAAAGAGCATTAATTCCCATCAGACGCACCCATAGGCATGCACACACAGTTACCAGCCTAGCCTCCTTCTAACTTTGAACCAATCCTTCCAACAAAGAACCAGAAGCATTTTTGAAGGGGGGAAAACACACTTCTACAAGGAATTCTGAAGAACCAGTTAAAATCCAAAATGCAGATGCTACTTCCAGGTCACATCATATCTCCTCCGAGTGGACGATCGTGACTTATTTAGACAACAGAGGCTGGATCCAAATTCAGATTTTAAAAGAAACATTGTATAGGTAGGAACCAGTGCCAGATTTGAAATTTACCCAAGGAGCAAGCCATGAAGAACATCATCTAACACGTATTCTTAAAATTGACTCCGCCGATTTGTTCAAAGAAAAACAAATACCCCATCCACCTAACTGAGATACGTCATATAACCACTGCATACATTACAATACAACGAGATGAAACTAGCCAACCTTACCAGTTTTCGGAAGGCTTTGGGCACAGAGAGCAGCTGAAGAAAGAGACTTCACCCTCTTATCTGTGTACCCCTTAAGTGTTACGAGAAAATCAGTCCCGAACTTCCACAACTTCCACACCCATGCTGTGTCCTCCAGTTTTGTAACTTAGGATCCGTTCCAAAGGCTCTCCGGAAGCTTAAAATTGGCAGACCACTTAAGAAGACCGCAGTCAACCACTGTAACTAAGGATGATACAATCAGCCTGTGCCAATATCCTGTCACTTGGAAGCCAAACTCTCTCTTAAAAAAAAAAAGAAAGGCACAAATATAAACCTTATCTTTGCTCTGCAGAAAACACACACACTCACATATTTATCTGTCAGCATTTCCTGCTCTGACATCCATAAGTGGCCTCTGGAAAATATAAAGAGAGTTTCGTGGAATGTGAAATAAATGTGGGCGATTCTGCAGGGTATGGGGCCAGATCCACCCTGAATGCTAAGATGCAGCTGAGGCACCTCCGACCCAAGGTGATGCATCAATATTACTTTGCACGGTCCTTCAGAAGTACAGCAGGGCTGACTCCCAAGAAAGTGTGGACGGGGCTGCAGCACTGAGAACCATCCACCCATTCTCAGCACCCTGCACATTTACAAGGAAACTGACCTGCACATTTATCAATCTACAAGGAAACTGACCTGATCTCCCCCCACGGATGGGGTGGTTAAAGCAAAATAAAAAGGAAGGAAGAAATGCATGGAAGAGTTGGCGCGGAATCCAGGAAAAACATTGCTGCAAGTGACAGAGAAGTTTAGGGCGAAACTGGGTTTTTTTGGGGGGGGGTAGGGAGTCTTGACGGCTTCAGACAGGCAGGGAGAATAGAAGAAAACAACCATCTAGTTTCTGAAGAAAGGAGGCAGGAGCGTGAATTGATTTCAGGCTGGTTCTTGGGCGTTCACAATGCAATGCACAGGAAGGAGAGAAAGGGGGGCTTCTGAGTTCCCTCCCTGATGAGAACAGGCTACAGAGGGCAATGCAGGGTTTCCCATACTGCACAATGCTTCGCTTTTGGGCATCTGCAGATTTTTTTTTTCCTGATCTATTTTTTTAAAAAACACACACACATTCCTATAGTATTCCAATTTTAAAAGCAGTCGGACCCCTGGGATTCCCCGGCTGCTAGGATGCTTCCAGCCAAAATTCTCCAGAGCAGAAAGACTTGGGGGGCTGAGCCGCAATCTTTGGGCAAAAAAACAAAGCCAGCTCGCCTGCCATGCAGTGGGGGAGGCGGCGGTAGCATTTCCCCTGGCCTGAGACGAAAGAGAACACACACACACAATCACACCAAAGAGGCTCATTCATTCCTGACCTCTCTCTTCTCCCCCCCCCCACCAGATGACCCAGATCAGATCCACTCACCAGCTCTCCTCCGTCCTAGGTCGCTCTCCCTTCCAGCTGAATCGATTATGCTTTTTTTCCCCCCCTTTCTGCTGGCTGGCTGGCTGGCTTCACTGGATCCGCCAAGGAGGCGGGTGTGGAAAGGGGAGGAGATGCCTGCAAATCAAATACTCAGCAATTGATCAGCAGAGCAGAGGGTCAAATCCCCTCCTCTCTTCTCCCCCCCCCCCTGCAAGCATCATCACCACCAGGGTTTCTCCTTGTAATGCAAAAAAAAGGGGGGAAGGGGGGGGGGAGAAAACCCATCTTAGGATTTCCTCTGCAACCAGATCACAGATTCTCACTGGCTCCAGAGGAGAAAGGAAAAAATGCAAGCATGATCTTACTCTTTCTCTATAGGTACCAGTCCAGGCGCATCAAACTCATACATGCATCTCTCTCTCTCTCTTGGCCACTCCGCCCACCCAGAGAACAGAAACCAGGGCACATGAGTAGCTCCTGGTGGCAGAATTAGCTCCCTCCCTCATCCTTCTCCTCCCTCCTCCAGAAAGGCTGGTTTTCCTTTCCCCCCCCACCCCATGGACTAATCACATCAAACCCCACTTCTCAGGTTAGGCTCAGGGGGGAAAAAAACAAACAGTAAAGATAATTTTTTTCTCCTTCCAGTGAAACCAGACAAAGCATGTCATGCTGGAAAATGAACAGGAATGTCCCCTGCCGTGATCTGAGCTGTGGGGGGGGGGAGAGAACGTGCCCCCAGTGTGGCAAATAACTAAGAAGGACTTGCTCTTTTTTCTTCCTCCTCAACACCCTCCCTCCCCCCAAAAAAACCCTCTCCTGAACTTAAGCCTGTATTTTCAAGTAAAGCAAACAAGTTCGGCTTTCAGAAGGCTATAGTCCTCTATGAAATTTTCCCCTGGGAATGAGCCATATTCATCTCAATGGGGCTTTATTTGGAATGCATGCACACACACACACACACACACAGAGTGCACATTCTACTTTGGGCCCATCAGCGGAAAGCAGGATTCTCTAGGGGAAAAAAATACAGGAATGCTAGGAAAGGTGGAAGGCAGGAGGAAAAGAGGAGGACCAAATATAAGATGGGAGGCGGATTGATTCCCTAAGGCAGGGATCAGGGAACTTTTTTACCTTTTACCCCCCCCCCCAAAAAAAATTATATATTCCAACTTTACCCCTTTGAAGATTGATTTGTTTAAAACTTGGTGCTGGAGGAGAGCTTCAGGAATACCAGGCACTGCCATGAAGCCAAACAAGTGGGTCCTAGATCAAAATATTGCAACTGAGGCTGTCCAACTTTGGGCACATCATGAGAAGGCAGGATTCTCTGGAAAAGACAGGAATGCTGGGAAAGGTGGAAGGCAGGAGGAAAAGAGGAGGACCAAATACACTACAAGATGGGAGGCGGATTGATTCCCTAAGGGAAGCCACAGGCTTAAGTTTCCAAGAGCTGAGTTGGCCTGTTGTGTATAGACCACTCTGGAGAGATCACTCCTTCATAAGGTCCCCATAAATCGGAGGCGAGTTAATGACACATAACATTCCAGATAGACAATTACTTGAGAGTAAGCCCCATTAACCCATCGAGTTGATCAGCAGAGAAACAAAGGCGTTAAAATCAATGGGGGTTGAATTAGGCAACATTTAAATCATCCCAGTGCACAATCTGGTGGTTTAAATCCAACTGTTTGTCCAGAGTAGACTCATTGAATCAAAAGGATATAATTAAGAGTTCACTGATTATCCAGCAACCAGTTCAATTATTTTTCCCAGTTGGGACTAGCAAAGAGATTTAGGGTTATGATTCTCTTATTTCATAGGAAGTATACCCAGCTGGTTTGCATACAGAATGTATCTGGAGAAGAAACTGAAACCATTCCCTTTATTCCCAAAGCCCTAATAAATACAATGAAGTAGCCTTTTTAACTCACTGCATCCAACAGAGCTTTTTGCAGGCAAGCCTGTCCGCCTAAGGCTTGTCCCTGACCTTTACGACACACCTGTTTCTAATGCAACCTGATCAGAAACAGCATCTTTTCCATCCTAAGCCAGAATCTTAGCAAATGGATCCTAAACAAACCTGGTAAAGAATAAACGCAGATGAATCCAGCAAGACGTACTCCATGGTGTACAGACATACTGGTTCTCTTACCCTTCCATTTCCCTTGAATTTAAAAAATAAAATAAAATGTAGCCTCGACAAGGCTGTACTTCTGCCCATGCTTGAGAAGAAGCCCAATAAAAAAAGCAACATTTTGCTACCAAATATACAGAGCATGTTTACCATATTTTTGCTATTATTATTTTTTTACAAAATGCAACAAGGTTGAGATTTGGACTGCAAGGCTCCTGCTTTCTATTATTATTTGTTTGTTTAGATTTTCTGTATCATTTTCCCACATTCTGTATCACGTTCCCACTCTGTTCCCCCAAAAGCCCTGTGGGTACAAGCCAGAAGGGCATAACTAGCACACTCTAAACGCCCAGCCTCCCCCGGTACTTTATGAGTGAAGATTTGAACCCAGGTCTCTGTAAACCTGGTGGTTCCAAACCTGGGGGCTCCCCCAGATGTTCTACTAGTCCCATTTGCTGTGCTAGCCAGGATTTCTAGGAGTTGCAGTCCAAGAACATCTGGGGAACTTCAGGTGGCTCTAACCACTCCACCACCCTGCTTCTTCTCTTAAGAAAAAAGTACAAGGAATTAAGCTTTGTGTGCGTGGACTTGTACCTGTACATAGGATCGCACTGCGAGGTTTTTCCCTCTCCGCATTCCCACGGCAGGATTAGGGGGGCAAAACTCTTCTTTTGCATCCTCCTCCTCCTCCTGCATCTTTGGTCCAGCTCGCAGCTGTGCCCGCTGATTGGCTGTCCCGCACCTAGCCACGCCCACCTGATTGGTGCTTTCATTCAGCTGCGCGCCCTCCGGGTCTTCTGAAGGCATCGCTTTCACTCACCCGCCTCCCCGCCCCACCCAGCTTCTAAGGCTACCTTTGGGTCCGGTGTTTATTTGGCAGGTTTAATTAGCAGTGAAACATTACAGGATGCGCTCCAGTACAAAACTTACCGGTCCTTTACCTCTCAATAGACAGTGAAGGTGGGAGCGGGATTTTTAAGGCTGTTTTAAAAAGAATAAATCAAAACCAGGTGCACAGCTGTTACAGGTGCATCTCATATATAGGATAATTCATGTTATTGTGGATTGATTCCCTAAACGGAAGCTACAGGCTGGAGTTTGCAAGAACTGAAGAGAGGATATTTTGGAGATTTACTCATTCATGGGGTGGCATCACCAATTGGGCATGATGTGATGGCACATAGCAACGAATGTCTGTTAGAAACATAGAGCTATTTTATTTTACTTTGGTCTACAGCACGCATTAGCTACACCCAATGTGGCATATATGGCATTTATGTATACATATTTGCCATACGCATTATAAATAAATTTATTTAACAATATATATGATCGCATAGATAGATGATCTATATCTATAATCTACAATCTATCTATACGATCATATATATTGTTAAATAAATTTATTTATAACATATGCCCACAGACAGCCATTCCGTGAAAATAATTCTCTCTGTTATTAGATAACATCATTGCGTCCGGTTGCGTTTTACTTGTATAACTCACTGCCTAATCTCTAGAGTCCAGAGAATAAGTAGACACAAAGCTGACCTCGGAAACAGAAAGTTTGAAAAACTAGCAGGGAAAACCTCCATCTGCAGGACATTTTGCTCCCAGATTTCAAGGTATCTGTTCTGGAACAACTAAAATTTCCAAGACAGAATTCTAGTGCAAACCAGGTAGACTAGAGTTAATTATCTGAGCTCTGGTGGCTTCAACAGAGACTATATCAGATATATTAACGAGCTGATTTTTCCAAAGATGGTTGTCTTATCATGACTACATTTTGTGAAAGGCTGTTCTCTGCACTATGTGTCTCCATTTACGACCCAACCCTCCATATATATGTGTGTGTATATATGCTATATGTACTATGTGTGTAACTCACAATGATCAACTGGATTGTGGATCCTGGAAATTTATGCTACTTATGTCTTTTAATAGACTGCTGCTTTGATCTTTTATAATATCTGTATACTAATTGTCAAGTTTAAATACTGTCTTTAAATTATGTGACCCACCCTGGGTCCTTTTTCAGGAGAAAGATGAGATAAAAATATTGTAAATAAATCAATAATAAATACAGCTGCTATCCCCATAAGGAAGGTGGTGGCGCTGCGGGTTAAACCGCAGAAGCCTCTGTGCTGCAAGGTCAGAAGACCAATAGTTGTAAGATTGAATCCACGTGACGGAGTGAGCTCCCGTCTCTTGTCCCAGTTCCTGCCAACCTAGCAGTAAGAAAGCATGTAAACATGCGAATAGATAAATAGGCACCACCTTGGTGGGAAGGTAACGGCGTTCCGTGTCTAGTCGTGCTGGCCACGCGACCACGGAAACTGTCTACAGACAAACGCTGGCTCTATGGCTTGGAAACGGGGATGAGCACCGCGCCCTAGAGTCGGACATGGCTGGACTAAATGCCAAGGGGAACCTTTACCTTACCTGCATAAAGTGCATTATGATATTCCAGATTATCCATGGGGCTACTCTGTGCACATGTACACAGATCAAAGACAGCAATCTGAATCAATGCAGGCAGAATTTCATCTTGGATCTCACAAAAAAAGGTCTCCTGAACACAGTCCTCCCATGGATTGTGGTCGTCTTCTTCAGCCCTTGCAAGTTTATCGCCTGATGTTCTGAGACTACCTTAAATGATCTCGGAATAATTCTGGCCTACCTTTAATTTAAATCCACCTGCAGTAAACAACTCAAGTTTTTCAGTCAAGCTCTTGACTGATAGCTTATGACATGTTTCACTGTACTCTAATCAACCATTCTAAAGCATTTTCTAATGCACTGCTTGCCGATGTAAATCTCTTCTGCTTAACATCAAAATTATCCACTGATCTTGATATAGCTGGATGCAGACTCGTTCGTGGGAGGTGATGAGACCTCTTGCTTCAAAGTACTGCACATATATTAAGTAATCAATTGGAGCACCGCAGATGCTAATAGATGCTGCAGCTCAGCTCGCTCAGAGCCGGTGCGCCTCGGAGACTCATTTCGCACCAGTTCCGTCTGTGTTTGTTTAGATGGCTGTTTTGCGATCCGTCTGCATCTGCAGAACAGAAAGCATCGTAATACTCTAATATTATTCCTCCAGCAGTGATGACAAAAACAACTTCCAAGTTAGAAGCAGGGTTCCAGTCACCAGGAAAATGGGCTATGCAAAGGAAGAAGATGGGAGGTTGGGGGCTTTTCCACAAAATCTGCATAATATTTGCCTGAACACAAGGAATATCAGTGGTTCGATATCAGTGGCTGAATTTATTGACTTATGATGGGAGAGACCAACAGCTTGGTGCCTTGGACATCTGTGTATCAGTACTGGCTGGGGCATTTTTGTAGATCTACCTTGTAAGCTTTGTGATCATATGTGCAGAGTCACTTTTGATAAACTCCTCTCTTTAGATCTGTTCATTCTGTTAATTCCTGCTGTTTTTGATGTTCCGTGTGGGAGTACCAAGGATGTTGGCAAGTCTCTGAGTCGGAGACCCATGTCCAAATATGAGTCTTTGGTACCAAGTTCCAAGCCTGAGGCCTGAGTCCCTTTTAGGTAAAGGTAAAGGTTCCCCTTGACAATTTTTGTCCAGTCGTGTTCGACTCTAGGGGATGGTGCTCATCCCCGTTTCCAAGCCATAGAGCCAGCGTTTTGTCCGAAGACAATCTTCCGTGGTCACATGGCCAGTGTGACTCAGACACGGAATGCTGTTACCTTCCCACCGAGGTGGTCCCTACTTATCTACTTGCATTTGCATGCTTTTGAACCGCTAGGTGGGCGGGAGCTGGGACAAGCGACGGGCGCTCACTCCATCGCGTGGATTCGATCTTACGACTGCTGGTCTTCTGACCCTGCAGCACAGGCTTCTGCGGTTTAGCCCACAGCGCCACCACATCCCTTGAGTCCCTTTTAAAAACAAGCTATTTTCTCCAGGAAAAAAAAAGGAGGGCTAGGCAGGTTCTAAAAACAAGCTATTTTCCCCAGAAAAAAAAAGGAGGGCTAGGCAGGTTTTCAGTTGCAAGTCAAGTCTGAGTCATTAAAAATAAAAAAAATCCAAGACAGAGTCAGTTGAATGACTTCGTCTGACTTGACAGCACATCACGTGACTAAAGTCTACATCGTCAATATAAATTAGTACGGGACAGCCCATAGACAAAGAGAGAGGTATCAGCAAAAAATCTTTAAGGGGAAAAATCCCTGGGTGAGAATTCCTGAAATGGAGGAAAAATATGCTTTTACAAAACATATATATTTAAAATGTTTTTACCTTACCTCTCTTCTTAAATAAAGACTCAAGGTGGCTCACATCATTAAAAGACAATATGTAAAGCTAACAACAGTGAGTATACAATGCTAAAGGATCACATAAACGTCAGAGTAAAAAACAGCAAACAAAAGCAATACCAAAACACATTCAAAGTAGTAAAGTATCGCCGTCCTTTAAAAAATAATAATCCACTAATCATTAATGGAAAGCTTTGTTAAAGAGGAGGGTCTTTGTCGACTTGCAGAAGGAGAGCAAAGATGGGGCCAGCCTGGCCTTCTGTGGGAGGGAGTTTGGCCAGGGTCGATGGAGAAGAAAAACTAAATGGAAGAGAGATGGAATAGAGTGTCAAGAAGCACAGCTGACGGATTGGAACAATAAATGGCAGCAGTGAACAATCCCACGTTTTGTTGCATGTCCCTGCTGTGCCTTTGATAGAGAACAACAGGGCGTAGGCAGCTTTGTTGGTTTTTCAAGACACGCGAGCACAACTGAGTAATAGATAAAGGTGGGGTGTAGTAACTCCAGCAGTGGGTGAAGAAAAATAGATTAGGTATATACTATCATATAACGGGAGGGGGGGAATGAACTGTTGCGACGTGGCAGATAGAATGTAAGCCTACCGCCTTTGGCCCATTGGCGAGAGGGATAGAGAGGAGCAATTGCGTTGGGTATATAAGATGTGTTTACTTGGAAAAAACTTTAGAGACCACGCCGTGCGAGGTCGTGCTCGCTCCACATAGAGAGGAGCAATTGCGTCGGGTATATAAGATGTGTTTACTTGGGAAAACTTTAGAGACCACGCCGTGCGAGGTCGTGCTCGCTCCACGCTTGCAAACATGAAATAAACGCTTGCTGTGTTCTTTCAATTTGTGTGCTTCTTTAAGGTACGTAACACCTTGAGGTGCCAAAGCTGTCCCATTCTGGCTTCCTGGGATCTCCGAACTGAAGGATCGCAGTTCCGATCGTGTCACTCTTATGTGCACGTGTGGGAACACTACAGATTTCTAGCCTGTCTCTTTGCTATACATAATGAGGAACTGAAACTAACCGCTTCTGGGAAATTAACTTTTCTGCCCCTAAATCCCTTTCATGGCTGCACCGATCAGCAGAAACGTGTCAGAAAAAGGAAGAAGCGATGGATATATTTTTGAAAAAATGGGTGGCTGGGGGACCCTTGGGTTATATTTCCTAAGAAAATTATTGTGCCAAGAAGATTCTAAGAGGAGCAGTCCATTTCAGTTTGGGGGAAACCATGTTTAGTAGAGGTCAGGGAGACTGCATTGGGCCCCAAAACATAAAAGAAAGAAAGAGAAGAAACCAGGGTAGTATTGTCACCCAAAGATCACAGCCTGCCCAATATTGAGAAAGAAAGAAAGAAAGAGAAGAAACCAGGGTATTATTGTCACC